GATTCGACTATGAACTCGCTAGATTCGACATTCGTTTGACTTTTCAAATGTGTCTGGAAATCCTCCAAGATTAGTTTACTTATTCGATTTGGGTTTAATCTGACTCGGATTGGAATATTTTTTATATCACTAGGTCCGTCTCATCCAGCCTGTCACTTTAACTATAACTTTACTGAAATCGGAGTTCTGAATGACTCTTAATTGAAGTTTGAATATTTCTTGCTTAAAAAGTTGCCTCGAGATTCATGATAGATGATGAAATTTTGTTGGTGGCGTATCAGTTGCCCCTCTATTTTCGGACGAGTCCAATTTCATCGTCCGAAAAATATCCAAATTTAGAGTAACATTCTTACCACCCGTATATGAATAATATAAACCTTTATATATCACCAATTTCATCATCCGAAAAATATCCAAATTTAGAGTAACATTCTTATCACCCGTATATGAATAATATAAACCTTTATATATCAAGGAAAATGCTACAGAGAGGGGTCAATGTTTGCACAATTGGAGATGTGTGCGTAAACTCTCTTGGAAATACTTTACACGTGACCATCAACCTTGGACCATCCTTGCATAAATATTTAGTAAAAAATATTCGGTAGTACCAAGTCCCATAATTTTTTTTGCTTGTGAGAGTTTTTCATGAGGCTGTTTGGTTGGAAGAATTTGGAATGCAGTAATTTTCTTACATAAATTTTAAAAAATTAAGTGTTTAATATTGAGAATTATATATAAAATGTATAATACAAATGAATTTAAAATTTACATCTTAATTCATTTAGCTATATTTAAATTATGATGATTTATACTTATATGAAATTTGCATAGTCCATTAATTTAAAGACTCTCTTAATCCAATCCTTTGATTGTTTGTGTGAGATCAGAAGGAAGTTAAGGGTCTGTTTGGGCAGCTGCAGCTTATTGAATAATCTACTGATAAGTTGTGCGCGGTGTCTATTACAAATTTTTATTCTTTTAGAAAAGCCCAAAAGTAAAAAACGATGCTTTCAGCATTTTCAAAACGCATAAACTACCAAAATGCAGTTAAGCCAAACAATCTAGGTGTGTTTTCAGAACGCCACCGCACCAAATAAGCTGGCCCAAACAGACCCTAAATCAATTAATATCATCCCCATGTTACTAGATTGAATCGCCTAACTCGATAAGGCTATTAAGGAAAATAAAGATGTATTTTTTCATAATAATACAATATGTCATATTCTCTTTCCTAGCAGTCCAAACATTTTTTTGGGTTTCTACATACCAGTTTTATTCATTTTTTAACTAACCGGGTCAATTATGATATATTACAAACTAATTGTCTTAATTTTATATCGTGAGATTTAGAACCAAAAACATGGGGAAAAAGAGAAGCATTTACACGCATACCCCACAATTCTTACATTTCAAACACAAACTTTCACATTTACGGTAAATATTTGCGTACAGAATATGTTCGCAACACTGCATACGTCAGAGATTATTCAGAGGGTACAGAGGGGTTATACCTGCATTATACCCCCTATAACCTCCCTGTACCTACCGGAACTACAGAAACGCAGAACTTATTTGTAAGTTACAGAGAGATTACAGAATGTATAACGTGAATATAACCCCCCCAACCCTTTGAATAACCTCTCGACGTACGCAACACTGCATACATCTTACGTACGCAAATATTTTCCCATATTTACATATATAACAATCAACTTATTAATATCACCACTCTAACTTTTTAAAATTGAAATGCACTTTTTCGAGCATAAATTTATGACACCAAAATATTGATTTATTCGATATAAAGATAACTAAGAATTATCTTGCATTTAAATTTCCCAAAAGAAAAAAAAAATGGATGCAAAAATAAGTTCCACAAATTAGGGATTGAACTGAGAAAAATAAAATAAATAAATAAATAATCCTTGAGGATTAATTTGCAAGGTCACATATACATATACAATCTGACAAGTTCCTAAGCTTCAATATTATCCATCTTTAAAACCAACATAAAACAAAGCCAAGACCCAACCAAACTACTGCGATAATACAGGAGTAAACATCAAACCAAATGAAATTGTACATGAACATCCTTGTCCTTAAATACAACCTACAAGCTGTTGCAAGCTTCAAATTTGGCCACTATTTAAAATAAAAAATCACATTCATAACGAAGCTAACAAATACCTTTATGTGTTGCAACATATTAACAAAGAAGAACTTAAAAAGCCCAGAGCTTTCACTTCAACAATGATTATTTGACTTCCTAAAACAGAAGATATAAGCTTTGGGTTAGAATAAGTCTACAAAATCATCATCACTCAGGAAATACAAGATTCATTTATCCCCGATGCACAAAAGCTGATCAAGCAGAAACCTGCAACTACAAGAGAGCTTCACAAGTTGCCTTATTATGTCCAAAAAGCATTCACCCACCGCCAAACCGATTAAATCGCTTTCTCCTTGGTCTAACGGGTGTCCGTCTAGGTGGGGGTACAAACAAGTTAGCAGCATTAAAATTAATGTTGGCAATATCAGGTATTGGATTTATTGATTCACCATAGGTTGCACGGTAACAATCAATTCTAAAATATCCCAGACAAAAATCATACACAGATCTATCGATTCGATTGCAGACCGCGACGGCATGGGGACAGGGCAAGCCCGAAAGTTGCCATCTTCGACACGAACAGACCCAATCCCCGGTGTTGACGACGTATATGGTGTTGCCACGAACTTCAAAGACAGTATCAGACGAACATAAAACGCTCAGCTTGCGAGACTTCACTACCTCCTTCTGCAACTTCTGCTCCATGGATGGTGTTAATTGACCCACCCAAGTATTTGATATCTCTCTTCTCAAGCGAATCACCTCCATCATTTTACTCTGAATTGCATCAAGTATCAGTATTATCGAAGACTCGCATTTCACAGGTATCCAATTGGAAAACGAGTCGACAATGTCCGAGGATAAATGGTCGTACCGTGCACCTCTGAACAAAGCATCGGACCAATTCTCGGGCTTACTAGCCATGACCCAATTTGCAACGTCGTCTGAAACGCTCCTTATGCTCTCGATGGAAGAGTTGAAATCTTCGATGGTGCATGCTTGGGCAGCGCGGGTGAAATCATCAGCCATTGTCTCCTTCTGTTGCTGAGACCATGGACCTCTCTTCAGTTCTGCTTTGAAATCCTCTATGAGTTCATGGAGGCAATAACTGTGATAACTATCTGGAAAAACCTGAGCTACAGCTTCATCTAAACCCTTTTGTCTATTAGAAATAAAGGTGATGGCTCTAGGCTTTGTTAAAGCACATTTTAATTGGGCCAAGAACCAGAGCCAACTATCACATGTTTCATCCTCCACGACAGCAAAGCCAACCGGAAAGATGACGTCATTTCCATCGACCGAAGCAGCTGCTAATAGCTTACATTGAATGTTGGACTTCAAGGGGATTCTATCAAGAAATATGAGGGGACGGCAGCCGTGCTCGAATCCATTAAGAGAAGCATGATAAGATACAAAAAGACGGCGAAATTTGGAATCGACAGATGTGTATAATATGGCCACACTGCCTGGGTTTGTCTCCAGTATCCTTTCACAATACCACGGCAGAAGGTTGTATGTCTCTCTTAGATTAGTAAATAGTTCCTTCTGAGCAACTTCTCTTCCTCTCCAGACTTGCGAATAAGTCAAATTTACTCCATAATCATCAAAAAGCTCCCTTAAAATTTCCTTAGGCTTACTTTGTGGTGAATCATGCAATTTTTCCTTGAGAATGCTTGTCAGCCATTGTCTTGTTGCTCTCCTCTGACCCAGTTTGCCATTTCCACCCCCGCAAGTGTGCTCGCTATTCATTTTCTTGATCACAAACTTCTGCTTGTGAGATGACTCAGATGCATGTATCCTCCATGTGCAATTTTCGTCATTGCAGCATTTCACGGTTACTCGAGAACTTTCATTCTTGATAAATTTGTAAATAAAACCTTTACTAATAGCATATTTACATAACTCACCCCTGAAGTCCTTCACATTATCAAATTCTTGCCCCACACCGGTGATAACATCATCCCAAAGAGTGTTTGTACTAAGAGGTCTAACGTTCTCAGGCGCGACAATGGAGGAGAGAAGAGAGGCACCTCGATCAAATAACATGCTCCTTTCCCTATAAGAGCAGACTTCATTAAAATTTTGTCTACTTCTAAAATAAATTCTTTTGATACAATAAAATAATGAGTAGCTACCTCTCGTCAACATTAGCAATAATAGCAAGTCCCTGCTGTCTAAAATTGTCCACTGAATCAGCACCAGGTAAGCCTGGTATAGCAAAATCGGTTGCAATGATCCTATTCCCAGCAGCACGCAGCAAGAATCATCAAGGGAAATTAAAAGAAGAAATTTACAAAAATCTTCATGGGTCAAGAAGTAGAAAGCTTTCCCAAAATTAGACAAGTACCTATTTGATTCAATGCTCTTGAGTTGTCAGTGTTATTAAGATATTTGTATTATTAGATGAAAGCATTATAATAAATCAAATTATTTTGTTTGGTTCAATGTTGTTACGTCGAAAATGTGAATGCTTATATTGGAACATGCTAACAGGATTCTTCAGTTGTCATGATGAGATGGCGGATGGTTTGACTAAGATATAATGTCAATAAAAATAAGATGATTGTCATTTTAAAATATTCTTTGATGATATCAATGAACGAAAGAGTATAACACTTTAAATAACATAACATTACATTAGGGATGCCACTGAACAAAAAGAAAAACCTAAAATAAAAAATAGCGAATTCAACGACAAAATTTGAGCTCCAGTTATATTGGATTTATATCATGGTAAATCCCCAATTATTAATGTATATCAACTAAGAAACTGGGAGCTATCTAATCTTACGAATTAAATAGTCAAAACAGATCATCTAATCAGGCTTAATACAGCTTTCCCTGGATTAGGGAAAATTTTAAGAGGATAGTTTAGTACATTGATCAACATTTTTAAATCCTCCGTGCCAAGAAAATCTCAAGTCTAGTTGTTATTTTTCCTAAAAAAAGAGAGGAATCAGAATTCATCATATCATGGCTACTAATCTCCAAAAACATAACAACTATTATTATCATAAGCATCATGGCAGGAAGAAAAAGTGGTCAATCATCTAAGAATATGATCTCATAGTTTAACACCCTGCACCGTCTTCTTCAATCCCTCAGTTTATTAGGTTTTGTTGATAATCTTTGTTTTCGAGAGAAACAATGCTAGTCTACCAGGATCTCCTCACAGGCAACGAGCTTTTCTCGGACTCATTTTCTTATAAGGAAATTGAGTGGGATGTTTATGGGAAGTCCAAGGAAAGTGGGTAGTGAAAGGTGCCCTTAACGTGAACATTGGTGCAAATACTTCAGCTGAGGGTGCTGATGAAGATGAGGGTGTTGACCATCAAGCAATTAAAGTGGTTGATATTGTTGGCACTTTTCGTCGTCTGCAGGAACAACCTTCATTTGACAAAAAGCAATTTGTCACTTTTACGAAGTGTTATATCAAGAATTTGACACCAAAATTGGAAGCAGAGAAGCAGGACATGTTCAAGAGCACATCAAGAGTGCTACCACGTTTATTGCTTTCAAAATTAAATGACTTGCAATTTTTTGTAGGTGAGAGTATGCATGATGATGGCAGTTTGGTCTTTGCACACTATAAGGAGGGTGCTGCTGATCCAACTTTCTTATATTTTGCATATGGATTGAAGGAGGTCCAGTGCTAAGGATGATCTCCTTCAGACTGAGCATGACTTTTGGTTCTGTTATTTACCGCAGCTATTAGTGTTGGAATTTGACAATAATACCCTTTTTATGTTGTCTTAGTTTTGTTGTATTGGTTGGAATTAATTAAATATTCTCCTTATAATTGATTGCAAATTATATATACTTTTAAAGTGTTACGCTGATAACTATATATATATATATATATATATATATGATAACAAGTGAATTTTTTTTCTTGATTAAATGAATATTTATTAATAGAAAGAATTTTTCAACTTGACTCCATTTTCAACGACTAGCACTAAAACTGCTTTTGTAGTAACCAGAGGGAATCCAATCATAAAAAATTTCATTCCAAACATAAAAAGAAATGCATCCTAATCATAAAAATGTCAAATCAAGTCCAGTATTAACTCTTTAATTTCAGAAATGATTATGAAGGACTTGCAAGAAATATTACGAGATCAAGGTGTAAACTGTTAGCATATTTTATAATTCTAACAAGTCGAACATCTTCTAAAGTAAATGAATATTCATCAATATAAAGAATTTTTAAAACTACAAAGATACCATCATATACTCTAAACTAATTACATGAAATATTATTTAGTAAGCATGACATTGATAATTATCATTCAATAAAACCGAAAAACTAAATAATGCCAAGGGGTAACTTGTTAAAATCTATAAAGATGATGATGATGATGTAATTTCCAATTGAGTGATGAAAACAGAAGGTCACCTCGAAAGTTATGAGAAAAAGAATAACTTGAGATAACTTTCTTAAAACTACAAAGATATCATCGCCACCACCACTATCATTAGACTTATCCACCAACAAGTTCAGCTAAGCTTTATGAATTATCATTTTCATTCATTCATTCATAATGAGTGTTGTTTGAGGTGCTAACATTTATGCTGCAAATAATTTTCAACAACTTTTATTCTTGTTAGCATATGTCTATCATTACTCTTTCCTAATCATCTAACATTAATTTTATTTACCCATTAAATAAGTGCATTTTTACCCTTCATTATACCTAGCCAAATCACCCAAATTTATTTCAATTACCTTATGTTCAATAAATGATACTCCAACCATCTCTCTTATATAATCATATTTCTTGATTTAGCCTTCTTATTTTTTCATATATCCATCTGAATATTATCATCTTTATCATGCCCAGTTTAGTTATCCATAATTTTTTTTTATTTCCCAATATTTGGATTCATATAAAGACTCTACATAATTACCGATTTCACATATATCATTTTATATTGTAATAATGTGGATTAATAATTTTTCATTATTAAATTAAAACAAATGCATATCGTATACTCAATCTTTGTTCTATTCATTCTAAGTCTCTGTTATCTGAATAATTTTCAATTGTTCTAACTAATCGTTTATTTTAGAAGATGACAAACAATAATCTATACAAAAAAAAGTATTCACTAGGATACCTTCAACATTTATTTCTAAGCATCTCCACAAGTAATACAAAAAGATATTGACTCAATATAAATACTTGATAAAATCCAAGTAAAATTGAATAGTACTTAGAAATTCCGCAACCATTTACAGCACTAGTTAGTGCTCTATCATACTTATCATTAACAACTTGAATATGCCTCCGATACGCATTTCTTCTTTAATGCATGTCAAACTAATGCTTGTGTTACATATGCATTCTCAAGATCAACAAAAATTAAATGAAAAAAGTTTTTTACTCTATACTTCAGTAATTGTGTTAATACAAACAGTTCTTGATATACCAGATCTCCTTCCAAAAAACAATATTAATTTTCTATAATTGGCGTAATATTTCTAGTATATGCTACCTTGCTTTCTTCTATAACTCCAATGTATGGCTTGTAGTTTTAATCCTCATATAATTAGCATAATCTTGAACATCTCCTTTCTTAAATATTAGTATTAAATAATTCATCTCAAATTATTCAGCATCCCTGAATAGTCGAAATTTGAAAGAAAAAAGATGAATTCACAGACATATCGCACAATTCTTCTATATTTACATATCTAACACATAAAATTTGATATTTATGTTTATGACACTTTGGTGTTCTAAACCTATACATGAAATGGTGTGTTTCACGTTTAAAAAGTTCAAAATAGTAGTATTTTTCATGTAAGATCAGTTTTTTTTTTAGTGTTATGCATATAAATATAAAAGTTTAGGTGTTAGATATGTATATATATAAAAATTATGTGGTTTGTATGTAAATGGCCAAAGAAAAAATTTGCTAAACAAATCATGAAAACAACTCCTAAGACTTTTTTAATCTCAATAGGTATCTTACATAAACCTAATTTTTAATATTTACATACCTTCAAAGCAAACATCAGTTTTTCGGACAAATCTATTTCATATCTCATCAACGTCTTCATCATACTCATCCAAAAAAAATTTCCTTTCAAAACTCTAATTTAATTATTTTTCAAAATAGCATTTCTACTTTATTTGATGTCTATATCTTTAATAAGATGTTCTCACCTTCACACTTCTAATAAACCAACAATGATAAAAGTCTCTAGATGTCTAACCTTATATATTATATATCACATTTTTTCCTTTCTCAACAACAAACTTATTATATAAATCATCAAAAATTTATGATTTTTCTTTTGTTCTACCATTTATAAAACCTTCAATCTTTTATTATAAAAATTAAAAGTACATATAAACAATTGGCTAAAAAGCATGATTTGGTCATCCTCCCAATGTTCATACATAAAATTACCTAAAAAATAGTTGAAAATATTAATTATTCCCCTTTCCATGTTAAGTACATAAATCTATGGCATTCCTCTTTCCAAATTCTAGCATTAGTCTGTGGCACATTTTCCCCTATTTAGTAAATGAATTTGACTCCTTTCAATCCCTTATTTAGTAATGATCTCGGCATATTCCTCAAACTAGATGGTAAAAGTTTACTATTTTTGAATACTAGATTGCAAATTCTTTTGCTATGTCTGGCGATTTAACTTCCTGCTAAAACAATCGAAGTGCTTACTTTATAGTTTATTTTTTAAGAATTATCAATCCACCTCCACATGTTTGGTTTGATCATGTGGCAATGAATTCGGGACAATATTAATGGAAGACTCCTTGTTATAGTATATCCTCACAGCTCCTTTCCATTTAATTTATAATTTTTTAATAGAATTTTAATCATGGAAATTCATAAATACTTTGAGCAATTGCATTGAATTAAAATTCAACATTTGATCTTGACAGGATAGATTTTTTTCATGCTCCTATATGTTAGTAGATTTATCAGGTCATTTCTCGTATCTACAGTTTTCTTCCTTCTTGATAGCATAATTACGCCTCCCAAGGGTGATTTTTTTCAGAGGATTCATCTCTTCTCTCCCGGCATCCCACACATTGTTATTTTTAATGCTTCAAATGAAATTTTTTATATTTTGATGGTGTTGGTATTGATATTATATATAAAGAAGGCTTTATATGTAGGAGAAAATTTTAAAAGGATGCATAATAGATTATAAGTTATAGAGGAAAGAGTGAAAGAGTGAGATAATAGTCGATCATTATTA